ACGAATGACGATTGATATGTCCCTCGCAATAAATAACTCTTGTAACTGAAACATACGAGATCATTTTCACCATCAGCCAGCGATATTTTCACGTAATGTGCTCCCGAGGACCGCCATTTTTAAGATTTATCATGATGGCAATGGGAAGGAAGACTTGAGAAAACCTTTTCATAAAAGCTTATATAGTTGTCGATGTTTGTTACACTTAGCCTTATTTTACCACATTCGTAAATAGTTTCTGCGAAATAGGTTATGTTGCCTCCAAGGGCTAAGGTCCATAAGCTTAATTTTACTTACTTATGGAGCAGACCTTTTTTCATTTTACTAGGTACTCCAAACACAATTAGTTTTTTGTAAGGAATTACTAATGTATCATGAAAACATGGTAAAGAATTAAAAATTGTATAAATCCAATGGATGCGAAATTGCAATTTGCAATGCAAGACCAAATTAACTTAACAATTTTTCAGGAAGTTCTAGTATTGGACGTCTATTAAGAAATAAATGAACGGTGTGTTTGGTAAGCAAATAACATAATGAGAATCATGACATTCTATATTTAAAAACGAAAAACCTCATAGTGATTATTTATAAAAAAAACTCGTCATCTTTCTCGTCTTCTTCTTCCTATTATCTATCCTAGAGAAAAATAATATCCACATATTAATTGTATGTTAAACCAATTAGTTATTACTCGTATGTATGTATTAGATACTGACCAAAATAAGTAGGTAAAAATATGATGTGAATATAATAAATAAGTATAATATACTTATATAATAATAAATATTAAATATGTTGGGACATTAACACACAGCACCATCTAGTTCCGTGGGTAAGCTACGAGCTGCTTGTGTTATGGATACCAGATACACTATACATATATACCTAACTTTAAATACTTGTACATACATATTATAAATATAAACACCCATGACTGGAGTACAAACGTTCATGCTCATCACACAAATTAATGCCTCCAGCGGGACTCGAACCCGCGCCTCCTGGCATAGCAAATAGGGTCACTACAAACTGAGCCAAACGTAACGTCAACTTCAACTTCATACTTATATAAAAGCTTTGTATATTAAACGACTTTCATTTTACCCGAACTGAGCCATGAATCTTAAAGATAACCATTTTCATAGAGATAACATCGTCATGGGTACACCACGATCATAACTGAACTATCGAAACTAAATACTAGATTATATCTAATATAGGTTTTTACCCTTTACTAACTTAAATAAGGGCAAAAATATTTTTTTTGTTCAAATATATTTAAAAAGTAAAAGACAACCTTTAAAATTTAATCAAAGTTCTTGTAACTTTACATTAGAGCGTGTGAAAATAACTCCGAAATAAACTTGCTTCTATTTCATTTTTTACGATCACAAAGAAGTTTTTACAAGCAATGAGAAAAAGGTAGTATTTTGAAACTCAAAACTTTGCCAATATTATTCAAATGTCTGCAATAAAATGTACCACGATCCACGTCTATCTAATATAAAAATGACATTATATGAAGCTCAAAAATAATTTATTCATTTTCTCTTACAAAATAGTCAATCAATAGACATGACGAAAAAAAATTGGTTAATTTTTTAAATCCCATTCATGTTATAACATATTCAGAACGAGTTAAGTACAAAATAAGCCATCACATCGATAATAATGGATTCTCTTATATAAAACTAATAACTCTACAACATTTTAATAAAATGGTTAAAAAGTCAGTCAGTATTAAAATATAAATCTATAAAATACAACAGTTAAAATATAAATCTACAAATTAGTATTGTTAGGATTACTAATTTATATACCGAATTTATACTCTGTGTTTATAAAATGTATTTTCTGAATGTCAGTTGACACTTGTCAATATTTTAAAAAGTAGGTCAACCCTACTTTTCGTTATGAACTTTGTTAGAATATTTAGTTTAGTCTTGCTTCATATTTGGTGGAAAGCAGTACAATATATACATTAATTACGAGAATAACGACGTTTTATTGGCCATCCCGTCAGTATTTGTTTATTTATTTATTAGTAGTCTAATGTTTTCTAAAATCTTAGAAAATTAAAAAAAAAATTACGAGTATGTAACGTAACAAAGCTATGCCAATTTGGACAGTCATGCAACCATACTCGTGCCAACTTTCAATGTACTTTAGTAAGCGTTATAGCACACCTTCATAACACTGCTAAGCAGCTAGCTAAATATCGCTTTTATGGAATATGAACCTATATAGTCAATATAATTGTGTGACAAGAAAGTCTTATTTTTATTATATTTTAACTTTTATCATCCGTCCGATGTAATATCATTTCTTTCACTCGTTAAAACTACTAAGATTAATATTATAAGAATTTATACAGACGTATATAATTAAATCGCATTTGTCTTAGATACTTAAAACAAAGTCTTTTAATGTGGTAAATGCAGAAATTTACCTCGTATAGGACCAAACCCGCGAATTCCGGCGTAGCATTCCGTGAAGACGGCCTTATCTGTCAAGTTATGTTTTCAATATTTAAAGTTAATTTATTTTAAACTACGTTTGAATAACAATAATTTAAATTTAGGAGCCGAGGATAACAATTTTGTAAGAACAAATAGAAACCCATCTAAATAATCATACCATTGAAACTCTACCCAACGAAACCGCATCCTCGAAAACAGCGCGAATTTTTAGAAGTACGCGAGTAATTGTTACTGGAGAGCTTAAAAGCTTTACTTTCGAACCGTTTTAACATATCCGAAGCTCGGAGTTGTTGCGAACATATTATTATCTTCTTTTATATTTTTATCCGTGTAGCCGAGTAATTTAAAGCAAGCAGTAATAAAGATGTTTGTAGCTGAATGCTTCTGATTTTTATGTTTTATTAAAATAAAATTTCCGAAGGTTGTTAATTTTTATTATATTGGTATACCGTATAATAATGCGTAAATAATTATTAAATAAAAACTGCTTATATATTCTCAACAATATTTCAATTATAATATCTATACATATAATAAAATTGTAACTAAGTCGAATCTGTACATTATATATTTTTTGGAAAATCTTATATCGAAATAGACATTATTATACAGAGTCCGAATCTATAGTTCTTAGAATTTTTGTCTGTCTGTCTGTCTGCATCACGAGAAGACCACTTTACTGATTTTGATGAAATTTGGTATGATGATAGCTGGTTATCCGGGTCAACTCATAGGATACTTTTTACCTTGGGATAATATCTCATTTTTGAGAAAAAATACAAAAACTGTAATGTAAGGGTATACTAATATGTAAAACCTAAGAATTTAGTTTTTGCTCATCTGAACGCGGGCGGAGCCGCGGGCAATGCTAGTATTATTGTATAATTATAGTATAATAGTATCCGCGAATTAACTGATAGTAGTTATTACATGAGGTTTCGAAATTAACACTCGATACCAATTCAGTATTACTACAGATCATAATATAATACTATACTAGGTGTTACGTCGGTTTATACGCGTAAACGGTGTGAACGAGCTTGGTTCAACGCGCAGTGCATGGAGCGCGCTTGTCACATCGATACGAACGCAAGCATTCAGGCAATCTGTTTGTTTTTTTTTTGTATTATTTAGCTCGTAATATGCGCAGTAGACGTACGTTCTTGATATATAAACGCCGAAGACGTTTTAAGTAACGTGGTGTTCAATTTGTACATAGCCCTAAGACCTCACCAAAGTGAGGGAATGTCCCTAGATTCTAAAAGTGCAAAAGTTATAATAATATATTCTGATATGAAATGTTAAATATATGTACACTATACAAAATTATAAATTATACTAGAATTACTGTAAATTATTTAGAAATATCTATATAATTCGTAACGTCTAAGTAGTTTCTCTTTACGTAGATTATACACAATTTTTTTTTAATATTTTTTAACGGATTCCTATTTTGATAATAACTAAGCTGATTGTGTTGTAATTAGAATACTTTCTTGTTTGACTTGAAAGAATAACTCATAAATGAAAAATATTAATACTTATAATAATATTACTAATTGCATTAAAAATATAACCTACCATTTAATATGATGAACGATTTTTTTTCACATAAGTGTTTATTATTATATACTACATAACAAACAAAAACATATCTATCCCACGGGAACCGTACATTTTTTCGGGATAAAAAGTTTATTCTATTTGATATTCTGATGTATGAACTATATTATTATAAAGTTTCATTAAAATCCAATCAGTAGTTTTTGTGTACTAAGCTGTATAATTTACTATAGTTTTTTAACTATCTCACTGAAACTTTAACTTTTCGGGATGAAAAGTATCTAAGATGTTAATTTTAACTTATTGATATTAGGTAACACCATGCAAAATTTCATTTAAATCAGTCAGATGGTTTGGGAGATTAACCCGTACAAACAGACAAACAGACAGAGAAACAAAAAATTTGAATAAAATCTGGATTTGTTCTATTTCTCTTCTTACATACCCCTGACTCGACTTTTAGCATTTTTTTTTCTATTTACAGACATTCGACCTCTACAGTTTTATCATAGTATAGATTAGCACTAAAATTAAGTCTTCATGTCTGCACTTCATGGCTGTAGGTATACAGAGTGGCGCGACAATTTGGTAACCATTGGATTAGATCACTATAGGTTGGGATACTATTATTTACATACATATATTTTAACTTATAGAGATGAAGGAAGAAATGAATAAAATATAATATAACAAAAAAGACGAAATTCATCATCATATAATACAGGGATTTTTAATTTACTGTCCAGTTTTATTTTAAGTGTCTCAAACAGCTCTAGAGTGAAATAAAAAATTACAGTACGTTACAAGCTACTATTATTATGCCATTAAAGTAGTATAAGAACATAGAAACCATATTTAAATAATGAAAGATTGTGCTATTTACAAATTTTATTCCTTACGTTTTTACATTGGCATAAGAAATATAAAGTAATTTCAAAGTACTATCATAACTTATATTTCTTCAGACGAGGGCTTACTTTTTACTTTTAACTTAATATCTATCACAACAGTCTTTTTAAACATGTCCATAAGATCATTTCTAACATGAGATTTGATTTGTTGTAGTCTCCCTCCTCCAGCCCCACTTATAAGCCTCGCTAATCTTTCTGATGGACATTCCACTGACACAAAACAAAGTATTTTATCTTGTTCTGTGATATCATCATAATATTCTAACTTTGTAGACAAATTATATGGGATTTCTTGATGAAGAAAATCCATGAATTTCGCTCGAACAGCTTCTTCTATTAACAGTTCTGGAGCTTGATCTGACCATTCTGATGGATCATAATGGAAATGGCGAATTTTGGCGTTGTTGATGAGATATTCCTGGAAAATATTCAACTTAGATTGATATTTTGATAATGTGACATGCGTTGGAAAAAAAATTGTAATACTCATCATGAACAAAAATAAATTAGTTCAAATAAATGTCAATAGATGACATTACATGTATGGATTTGTTATTAGTTGTGTTAAATTAACTAAAGTTAAAAAATATAGACACCAAAAGGGTATATTATTGTTTTAAAAAATATTCTAACTGAAGGGAAAAGAAATAATGCACCTGCATATCAAATTTTTGATTGAAATTGAAATATCAACTGATGGGTATGTACATGAACGAATTAACCACTGGACCAGACATATAAGCTGACGTACCTTTAACGGTCATGTCAGTAACCAGGGAATTTTAGCCTAGGTCGTTTGTTTTTGTGTCAGTCTCAAGCACTTACTTGTCAACAAAACATCTCCCAAAAATGACTAAATGTTCTGTTAATTGGTGTAAAAACTATAACGGCGGAAGCAGCACTATTTCTTGTCACTTGTAAATACATTATTTTATTACATTTATTGTTATTTATCACAAAATTTAATTAAATGTAAAATAAAATGTCATATTATCCAACTATGTTAAATATAGTCGATATTTCTATGTATTGTTGACATCTGACAACCATCATAAACGGGCAGGATTATACCATTCAGAACAAATGACAAAACTGTCGAGTGAGTCCATTTGACATCGACTAGTGCTTGACAATGTCGAAAAATATATCGATATTTGAAATAACTGAACGAATTGTGTTATTTGTACAGTACAATAACATAAAATACTTTTATCACAGTATCCTACAATCTGATGACAATAAATTTATAAAAATATTTTCTAAATCAAATAAAAATATAAATGCAAAAATTATAATTAGTATGTGTACTTAATTTTTTATTTTATTTTATACCACATTTATATACTTTGGAATATTATTCCATTGTAATAATAATAAAGATCATTTTATTTCAACACATAAATTACACAAAATCAAACATTAATGTTTTAGCACTAAACTTCTGGTTTGGCGATTTGTAATAAAACACTTTACCACTTGCACTAATTATTTTACTTTCACGATCCAACACTCACTTTTTCACAATTTGCAATCACTTTTTCTTTTTCCTAATTTCACAAATGTTTATTAAGAACTGAGCAATATTAGGACAGTGTCACATTTTTATAACTACCCGAGACAATCAATTGCCAATTAAAATAGTTCAATAACAGAATCAACAAAATCACTTTATTTAATTAAATTAGCTTAATAATTTTTTTTAATCTTTACAAAATAATATTTATTATATATTAATGAAATATACCCGATATTCATTTGTTGTTCCATACGATGCCAAATGCCATCGTATTTATATAAATCAAATTAAAAAATAATTATTATTTGACACATTATTATTGCCTCTTTAATTCATTTATTTTAATTTATTATAATAAATACAGATATTTTAAATTAAAAGATGTAAAATATGATGACTATGCTAACTAATGTCTAATATGTCATTCATTGGTTCATCGATATATGTATTTCATTGATTACGTTCAAGCACTAGAAATATTGTATTGTGTATCAGTGTTTATAATAATGTAATAAAATCTTTGTGTGCGTTATGCGTCACTTGGTTGAACTAGTTTTCATACATTTGTATTTTATGTCAGGTCCAGTCACTAATTCGTCCATGGGTATGTACTTTGTAGTATATATTCACAGTTGGCTCTTTTATTTTTTATGAATTATTGTGGTTAAAAGTTGTTAAAATCACAGATTCGAATGCAGAATGAATTTTACAATATTTACAATTCGTTAGTTTGCATATATTTATAAAATAAAACATTTTAATTATTTGCGAATCAACAACATCTACTATTATCTATTCAAGCAAACAAAAATAGCCCAAAGAATAGCCATTCAATTTCTTTATATGGGATGAGGCATCTATACTAGTATAGTATTATATGATGTGTTTTGTAATATTATAACATTCAAGCACGGTTTGAAAACCTTGAGCAACCTCTAAAAAAAATTTTTTTCTCTTGATCTTAAAACAGGACTCGTAAAACATGAAAAACTAACATATTTTCATATGAGACATTAAAAAAATCGTCAGTTTTTTTGTATCACCCTACTAAGTAAATTTGATACCTTTATATCCGACACACCGTCGCCATTGAGTGCTGATACCAGGAACACATCAGAAAAATGATTGTAGCCGTTTTCTTGAGTCTTTTTGCTTTTTGTGGGACTAGGTATTGGACTTCCAGCTATCATTCCATTAGTAAGATTACTAATTATTGCCAATAACTGCTTTTTAGATTTTAGCATATCTACCTAAAAACAACCACAATAAATAATCATTAAGTAAGACTACAACTATTTACTTAATTGATATATAATTTTTTATCCATTGCTATGCTTGTGTGGTACGTAAGCTGATAAAAAGTATGTGTTTATCCAGGATATGCTTCTCCATTTTAAATTTAACCCTAATATGTTGAGCAGTTCTTTTATAAAGAAGTAACAAACAGACTCAGTCATGAAATGCACATACAATGGTTTTATGATAATATCTTTCTTTTTTAAAATAAATTTATTTTTTGCAATTTTTTAATACATTTATACTTTTCTAGATTTACACAAATATTTGACGTTTTAAATAAAGGCTATGACTATTCACCTGATCTACATACAGGTTTACGTGAAACTTTCCCATAGCTGACCCATGGATGAATTATATGTAGTTCAAGCTTAAATGGATCTGCAATGGGAAAATTTCACATACTTCATACATTTACATATAAATAAGTTCTCAAAACAAATTATGTGATATTTGTTATATAAATTAGCAATAATTAAAAAAATATATATATACTTTTTTGTAAAATGTTCTTATTTTGGATTAAAATTGTATTTAATTAATAAATTTACCTTATTAAGTATCAGAAAACTAGGTATATCTTTGACAATTTCTAACATATTAACTACATCACGGTGAAGACCATCTCTTGTCCATTTATTTGACACATCATGTACAACTCCTACCACATCAGCACATCTTAAACTTTTTTGACATGCTGCCAGCATTGACTCTGGCAACTTATACCTGAAATTGATAAACTTACATTAAAGTTTAGGTCATATTTTACACCTACAGAAAATATATTAAAATAAATACATTTAATAATTTTGTTTGTCAATAATACTTACTTTTTCTGCTCTTTTTCTGTAACAATGCCTGGAGTATCTAAAAATATTATTTGAGTATTTTTCTCATATGCAATTGCTCTGGTTAGTTTTGTTGTTGTGTGAACCTTATTGGAGGCAGCACAAATCTGTAACAATTATTTATTACTTATTAATATAAGTTACTATACAAAAAAAACTTTTATGGTAAAATAAACAGGGAATACCTAAAGAGAGTATATAATGACACTAGGATATAGGTTCTATCATCTATATCATGAGCCTTTGAAACTTTTTTGCCTAATAGAAATATATGATTTAAATTTATGCAGACAGGTAATGTTAGTCTTCGTATAATAATGCTTACCTTTCGTTCTAAAATTTTATTAATCAAAGTACTCTTTCCTGCATTTGGTGCACCAATAATTGCTACATTAACGACTTTTCCTATACTTTTTTTTGATTCATATTGAGGTTGTGAAGAATAAAATAAAGCTCTTATAATAAAAGCATTGTTTAGTTTCATACGTGGAGAGAATATACAGAATATTGACATGATTCTGTAAAAACAATTTACTTTTATTGTTATTGTTCTTTTTAAATACTATAAAAACAAATATACAAAGCACTAAAAATAAAAATATAATAGATAGATAGGTGCACTACTACACAAAATCCTAATTTGAAATTTCTATTTTAATTTTAATTTGTCATCCATGATTTCTATATAACCAATAAATTCTATGTCAATTCACAATTGTCAAACTTGAAACTGTCACATTGACATTAAGCTACATACACAAATCCTCATCAGTGCTAAGTATTAGTATTTGACTCAAATATTTTAAAACAACGAATAATTTTCACATAATGTTATATGTGTAAATACATAGGAACTACATTCATTATAAAATTTTTAATTTCACAAAAAATGTGTATGTTTTAAAAAAAATATAATTTATAAATCATAAAATGGCAATATTGCTTAAATGAATGAAGTGTACGTTGTTCAATGTACTTGTAACTTGTAAGTTGTGTATGTTTGTATGTACTCGTCTCGTCGAGTGCGAGTTACTGTACTCCTGTACTTTACTTGCTTACAACTTTTATTTTAAGGTTTTCTTTTTTGTTATTTATTTTATTTATGCTACTGATAGTTAATAACTATATCGACAAAGATATTTAAATTTGTCGGCATGTATTTGCTCAGGTATATTTTTTTTTACTTAAAGTTATAAGGTTGGGTGCCTAAAATAATTATAAAACAAAACTTAATTTCCTTTCAGAAATGTCAGAGATAAAGTATAAAAATCAAATTTTGGCAGCGATTGATCATTTACGTTCCCGAAAATCGAGACCAGATATAAACAGAATTTGTAAGTTTATGCTCAAGTGTTATAAAGTAACACCGAAAGACACAAAGGCGGATCTTAAACGTTGTTTAAAAGAGAAAAGTATCTATAAAGTCGATTATAAAGATAATGTAAGCTACAGAAACGCTGCTAAGTGGCGAAAAAAGTCATCACATAATCACAGTAAGATTTGTTTATTTTTTACTAATAAAATAAAATATTGTTTGTGCATGACGTAATATTTTTTGAATTTTCAGAAATGAGTGCTTCTGTTGCTACTAGTGAACGACGAATAATAACATCAGCAATTGCTACTTTAATATATCAAGATCAAAGTTACTTAGAAAATGGTATTGCTTTTGATGATCTTGTAAAAGTAGCTGCTTCTCAAGAATCTAAATATAGCAAGAAACAATTAGAGACAATTATTAATAAGGAGCTTATATCTGGAAGCTTAGTGAAGCTACCAAATGGTACTTTAGCTCTTGGTCCAGCTGATCATGATGGAGACAGCTCAGACAGTTTTAAATTTGAATATACTGATTCAAATACAAAGGTAATGGTTTAGTTGTCAATAAACATATTTTCAATAGAATGTATATTTTAGTTAAGATAATAAGTATAATATTAAAATATTGATTTTTGAATAATAAAAATAGTAATTAATTTCAGATGACATCTTCTGCTAATTCTTCATGTAGATCATCACCACAGCGCACAAGGGGAAGGCCAAAAAAGTCTAGAGGCGGTGGTACATCATGTAATAGTGTAAATAGTAATAGTAACACTCAAAATACAGGAGTTAGAGTCGGGGAAAGACGTAAAATGGCTAAGAAAGTGTTTGATCCATCTGATCATAATGTTCCAAGTAAGCGTAAAAGAGGTAGGCCTGTCGGATCTTTAAATAAAAGTACAATTAGAAAACGAATGTTAAATGAAAAAAATGAAAAAGACAAAGAGGACACTCCGTTATCTGAAAGCCAACAATCATTTGACGGAAGTGCAGATGAGTTGGAACATGAAGAACCAGTACCTCATGAAACTTCTGGTGTCTGTTCTGTTTGTCTAGTACAAAAACCAAGAGGTTCTAATGATAGACTAGTGGAATGCCGAGATTGCAATAATAAAGCACATTTGAGCTGTCTTCAATCTGGTTCGGGTATTTTGAAGCCAAGGCCTGATAATACATGGCAGTGTCCACATTGTAAAACTTGTGTTATCTGTTGTGAAACCAATGATGCTGTGAGTTACTGTTATATAATTACAAAATTTATAACAACATGAATCAATAAGGCTTCATTAATGTATTTAAATTAATTTCAAATAATTAAATATAAAAGTAATTCTATCATATTATCTATGTTAATAAAAGGTTAATGTTCTCAGTTAATCACATGTTTATTACAGGGTATTTTGACTGTGTGTAGTATATGCTCAGATGCATATCATGCATTGTGTCATTCACCTCGAATACCTGAAAGACTTAAAGCATGGGACCAATGGGAATGCAACAATTGCTTAGAATCTCGACCCACAATTGCAGGGTCACCAGCAATAGTACCAAATAACATAGATTATACTGCAAAAGGATCATTAACGGACCCATTTTTAAAACCACATGAATTAGATAGGGCTCAGACAAAACTATCTGATGTTCCCGTAGATCCAAATATTCCCGATATTACTAATTGGAATGTAGATGATGTATATGATTATTTTTCTGAACATTTACCTGAAGCTGCTCCTATATTACGGGAACAGGTATGTTATCTTTAATTTCAGTAAAAGTTTATTAGACATTCATTTCAAATAGGACTATGATATCAGTAATTTTATTTATGTTAATTATAGTCCTAGAACAACTTTTGATTTAAGCAGAAAGTCATGGATATGAAATATGAAAAAGTTTAATAAATAAAATGTTATTATTCATCTATAGTCTATACTAATATTATAAAGAGGTAAAGTTTGAGTTTGTGAGGTTGTACGAGGTAATCTCTGGATCTACTAAACCGATTTAGATAAAATTTGTTAAGAAGATAGTTTTACCCTGGGAAGGACATATATTACTTTTTATCCCGGTAATCATCCCATAAGGGGGTGAAAATGGGGATAAAGTTGGTATGGGGAATCAACCTAGGGAGGAACCTGAGCAAAATGAGGGCGAGTCACTAGTTAAAATAAAAGATTTGTAGGTAATGACAAAAATTGATTTATTTTATTCACTAAGTCACAAACACAATTTATCTTTGTACACATTTGATTCTTAAATTAAACTGAGTATTAAGACAGATTCAGAAATCAACCAAATGTGAATTAAGACTATATTTATCTACCATTAACAACATGAATCAAACTCATATTTTGATAGGTTTAGGTATAGAACCCAATAATATATTCATCCATTACCAGTACTCTCATTTTTTTAACCTTTAAATAAAGAATAATTATAAAGCTTTTAAGTTAAAATGGTGTTTAAAATATATTTTTAGGAATTTGATGGACAAGCCTTAAGTATGGCAAGACGAGCAGACATTGTAAGAGGTCTAGGACTACCACTTGGCCCAGCCCTAGCATTATACCGAATTATAGTAAAATTACAAACAAGAAAAGACGATTGGACGATGTGTTGGGGTTAACACATAACCAATATACAGAATCCTATAGTATATACTTCTTCTTAAAAAGATTTTAGTATTTATATGGATATAGTAGTATAATTTAAATATATTCATAATTATTAAATATTCACTTTTGTTTTATTTATTTTATAATTTTGCATTTCTATTGCTTATAATGGATAGAATCTATAAAAACCAAGTAAACAATGTATACCACATAAGACCAAAAGAAACATTTGGACAACTCTCATAATTTTAAATAGTTTGACATGTTTATACTTTGATGAACTCAATAATGTTATTATTATTTTATCAATGCCTATAATACTGTATATTATATCATTTTATTTGAGAAATCTCAACCATCCACTTCAGTTTTCATGTTTGTTAAAGTGTATTCCATTTCATTTTCAGATTTATCTGGGTTAAGCTTTTTTTCTTTGTCAGCATCTAGAAATCTATAGCATAAAATGTGATGCATATCATACTCTTGTGGGTCTTCCCCTTTACTCTCTTCCTTATTATTCTCACTTTGTTGGCGTATTTGGATCTCCCGGAAAATTTTATCCCTTTGCAATTTTTTTTTACGATTGGTCTGAGAAGCTATACGTTGCGCATGGTAGATTCTACCCTTTTTCAGCCGTAACTCCCTTTCGGGCGTAGTTTCCCCGGCTCTTGCATTTTCTTGTCTTATTCTTGCTTTCTCGAGACGTTCATTTCGCTGTTCAATAGTTTCATTTTTACGTTGCAACTTTTTTCTCTTTGATGCAGCACTTTTTGATGAAAGTATTATTTTTTTTCTCTTATTAGGAGGCATTATTACTTCCACTTTAATGTAACTGCATGAAACGAATAGTAAGCTTAAATTAATTGAAAATAATAATTGATATTGATATTATTTTTATTTGTTACTGCAAGCGATCAGGGTAATTTTATTTAATTTTATTCAGAGTAACGACAACTTTTAGTTTGTAAATAATAATAAACATTAAAGAATATAGTAAACTATTACCATAGAATATAGAACTGACAACAGATTCTTAAAACTATAGATAATAATCAACCATGATAATAATAGAAATGTTTCTTTTACACTTTCTATCTTTCCATAGTCGTTGACGTTGAAAAGAAACTGAATGATATATTTCTTAGCGCCGAGATATTAATATTTCTTTGTACTCGTTGATAAACTTAATAATATGTTAAAAATACTGAAAGTAATAAGTATTCATTTGTATATTTTAGGCAATATTTTAATTAGCAATCGATTATCGTTGTGAAGCGTGTGTTTTATCAATTAATTTTCTTCGATACCCTTTAAGCCTCCGTCGACATAATATACACCAGGCTAAATTCAGAATTTTGTATGTCCTTGGACACATATTTTATTTAGCCAAATGTAAAGGTTTTTAGACAGTTAGTACTCTAACTAGACAACACATGTATTATCTGCCGGTTTAAATTAAATTTTGCCATACAATTATGGAGGGTAGAGGTAAATAAAACTAACATGTTGAGGAAACAAGTTCAAAAAGTGGTGGATTACCTGTGAGCTATGGAGAGTAGAGATAAGGAGAACCGCCTTATACTTTGGGTGAGTTGAAAGTGTCCAGCTTTATGCTGAAAATAGATGGCGCTGGCGTACGAAAAACTACGATATGATTTTAGCTGCTATAAACGGGGAGTGAACTTTCAATCCGGACCTACGCATGTCTAGAGTGGTGTGCTGAGTTCTAAACATTTTTCATTGATTACTGCTAGACTTTAGAACCAGACCTACAAGAAGTATTCTCACTGACCACTGTACGGGAGCGTGCGACCCCGACTACCCGCCCGATTCGCTAGCGCGGATGTTTTATGAATTATGACGTCATAGCATCGAACCTTGATAACAACTGCGCTGCGCCTGCGCATGAAGTTAAAAAAATCAATTTCTCGAAAACTGGAAAAAATATCCAGTTTTTTTTATTTTTAATTTCTTTTATTATTAGCTAGAAATCTGAAGTTGTTAGTATTCTTCATTGCCAATTAGACTAATTGTAAGCGTAAAGAGGACGCTCAAAATTTTCCCACGCTTTTATCTGAAAGTTTCATGCATTTAGCCAACTATTAAAGGCCGCTTAAATAGTTAAAACATTAAACTTAAGTAAAACAATAAATAGTACTAATAAATTGTATTGACACTATTTTATATATTTTACATAATCACAGAACAATATAAACAATAATCAAATTATGAAGGCTTTTTGTGTTGATCATTGTGTTTCATGTATGAAAGAAACACATCAAACACCATTGTTGCAATATTAATATAAAACACCCTGTAATGAGTAGGTAAATAATAGAAATTAACAAATTGGACTGGAGGCCAAAATAGGCAATCACCCTGAAACAATATGATTTTTTTTTATATAAAAAAAATTACATTAAATTTAACTTGCACCAATATCTTAATTTGATTGAAATGTCAATTGTAGTATTTAGCAATTATGAGGCTATAGTATTTGATGTTTGCTAAGCACATTTAACATTAAAATGTGCTCTGTTGTTTCACTCTAAAGCCATTAACAACAATATTCAACCAAATCAACATTCAAATCAAAATAATATTTTGATACAAGTGGGCAGTGGCCATAACAGCAATGTGAACATATTACATACCATATAAACATATTTGAATTTATCTTTTAATTCTATTGTACTTTGTTTCATAGTCTTTTCTTCCAAAATACCCATACCATAGAAAAAACAAATAATTGTAGCAGGTGATGCAAATAATTGATCACATAAAATTTTTTTTGCAACTGTCTTCAAATTAACTTGAGGTAGAATTTTATCTAAATAAATATAATAGTAATGATGAGCAGGACCCAACAAAGTTCCAACTATAAACATTCTAGCTGAAAAAAAAGTAGATGGGAAATGAAAATAGAATTAGGTAGATATAAAAAATATATATTTTTAGTCTATATATAATACCTGTTCTAGCCCAATCATATCTGGTAGGTAATACATTCGATTGAACTTCAATTTCTTGTTGAATTAAATCACCCATAGCCATAAAACCTCCAGATGTAATACTGTTTGTTAATAACAAATTCCTCTTAAAGAGGAAATGTACTCCCCGGTGGAAAGATGATTTCATCATTAGTTATAATGATGTTCTACTATACTAATACTATCTGAAAAATAAGGTTAATTTCTATATAATGTTAATTTACAAATAAGTATAAGATCAGAAAAAATAATATAAAATATATCTTTTCTAACCCAGTTTTGAGGTTATGTATTTTTTAAAATTATCTAAGTATTGAAAAGTAATTAATAAATAAATATATATATAAGTATTTATATTTTTTAAATTTTATTGCATTAATTCTATGACTCTTACATAATATTTTATGATTATGATTTTGTTATCATGACATTATTATAGCTTTTCAAACAAATCAGCTGTAATAAAATATTACAAACATTAAGGAAAATCTATTAAAAGTTCATTACAACACTCATTGAAAAAGCTTTAGGCTACTTCTGTTCTGATTTTAAGATTAATATCGCAAAATATTTAAAAAATCCGCCTAATATACGCAGATTTATTCACATCTTTCACAGATTAGTAATTACTAATTAGTAACTACTCAAACTCAATTCTCAAAGAGAATGCATTATACATAATGCCTCTATGTGTAATGGGAAAATTTCTCAAAAGGAGGGCGCCACACGTATGGTCTATTTACATTCAGTTTGAGGTTCAGCAATTTATTGTGATATCTATAGATATAATAAATTTGTAACTAAGCCGAATCTGTACATTAAATATTTTTTGGAAAATCTTATTGAAACAGACATTATTATCGATACAGAGGCCGAATCTATAGTTTTTTAAATTTTTGTCTGTCTGTCTGTCTGTCTGTTACCGCATCACAGATAAACCACTGGAGGGATTTTGATGAAATTTGGTATGGTGATAGCTGGTTATCCGGGTCAACATATAGGATACTTTTTACCGCGGAAAAATATCTTATTTCTGAGAAAAAATACAAAAACGGTAATATAAGGAATATGTCCTCCAAATTTTACGTTTCTACGACCAGCAATTTAGGCTGTGTGTTTATCCACTAGATAGTCAGGACCACCACAGGATATACCTCTTCTTCTCAAATCTTCTTTTAGCTGGTCTAACTTCCAGGTAAAAATATTTCACAGGTTAGATGCAAACACAATAAAAAAAACAGGTATTATTATAAGAGACTAGCATTGCCCGCGGCTCCGCCCGCGTTCAAATGACTAAAAAACCAAATTCTTAGGTTTTACATATTAGTATACTCTTACATTACAGTTTTTGTATTTTTCTCAGAAATGAGACATTTTCCCGAGGTAAAAAGTATCCTATATGTTGACCCGGATAACCAGCTTTCACCATACCAAATTTCTTCAAAATCCCTCCAGTGGTTTTTTTGTGATGCGGTAACAGACAGACAGACAAAAAATCTAAAACTATGGATTCGGCCTCTGTATCGATAAAAATGCTAATTTCAATAAGATTTCCCAAAAAATACTTAATGTGTCAGATTCGGCTTAGTTACAATTTTATTATATGTATAGATAGACAATAACTTAGATGCTTCACATCTGCTACTCATGACGGCTAAATCTTTTCTTTGTATAATTCAATTATAATTAATCCGGAATAATATAATTATTGTGCTAGAAAATAATATATATTAGAATTATTACATTTTTTTTGCCATTATCATCTTAGATGTGAATCACTCAGTTTATTATCTAAGCATATATTCAGCAACTTTAGTCCAATGGTAATGACGAGCGCGCTAGGATAAAATTAATCAAGTTACGTATTGTAGACCTTAAATAAAATAATTTTATCTTTTAAATCCGTTCAAGAGATATGATTGCCATCGGACAAGATCTTTTAGATGGCCTGACTCGTGTGTGTGAGCTGTAACGTAACTTGACATTTCGCATTTCGCAGTGACGCACTTGCACAGACCCAGGAACAACAAGACGCAATTTGATTACTTGACATAAAAAGGTTACTTATTACTCTACGATTTGACAGAAGTCAGCTGTAAAGCATGATTCATGATTGGTTGACAAATAAAACTGTAAAGTGCAGATTGCAGATGCGCATTGGATAATTTTCTCTTTGTAACAAAAAAATAAATACGATATGCATTTGAGTAGAATACAGTTTTCGGAAAGGATATACGACAACTACTAAAATAAACTAATAAGTAGCGAACTATTGAACTGCAAATTATGTCTCAACAAAGTGAACATTTAGATTTTTCTGGCTTATTTAAATTAGATGTTTTGGTGCAACTTGATATTGCTAGCCACAGTTTTTACGAAGTTGGTTTGAAGAAATTTTTAGCTTTATCAAGTAACAAGGAGTTGGTGTTTTTATATATTAATTCTCAATCTGAAAGGTTTGACAATGTGTATGATTGGGACTTTGTAGATAATCCAGTTTTTTGCATGTGTTTTGAACCAAGTGGCACTTGGGTATTGATTGTTAGTGATCAGAAAATTTTGCTTGTACCTTTTTTGCCAAGATTTATACCACAGAATACATTTGACTGTAAATGGTCACTGTCAAGTGTAACAGTTCTACCACTTCTTGAGATACCACAGCCAATATCGGTTGTATGGTGGTTAACTAAAGAATCGGAAAACATTGTTGTTATTGGCTCAAAGGTGAGATTTTTTTTAGTAACAATCACAAATGTAATAAATACTTATTATATAAAAACTGAATTTATTATTCTTTTTTATTTAAATTAATATTATATTAAGGCCTTTTTAAGTTTTTATTAAATGTTAAATTCTTATCAAATCCACAAATTATTGATTTAATATGATGTCTCGCTTCCTCTTCTTTTCTTATTTCTTAAGAAGATATAAGATACTGTAGTGTACTTAGAGACAGTATACTTCTTATTATTAAAAAATAACAATTTTGTAATAATTATGGAACATGTTCTATTTTCAGTCTGGATCAATATTTTTTTATTCATTGGAATCACAAATCATTGTTGGAGAAACAAAAGTTCCAGGAGAAATTGTTGATTTGCAGATTTGTTTTGATGACTCTCTTGACTTGCTTGCTCTTTTGGTAAGCATTTTGAACCAATTTTATACTGAGTAAATCATTTTTATATGTATAATGAGCATATAGTTTTATACAATACTAACAGTTCTCCCTCACTTTGCTCAGGTTCACCTCTAGACAAACAAAAACAAATCTATCCCACGGGAATCATACATTTTTCCGGGATAAAAAGTACCCTATTTGTTATTCTAATGTATGAACTATATTATTGTAAAGTTTCATTAAAATCCAATCAGTAGTTTTTCAGTACTAAGCTGTATATGTTACTTTAGTTTTTTAACTATCCCACGGGAACTCTTTAATTTTCGGGGATGAAAAGTCTCTAAAATGTTGACTGGGTATATATGATACCACCGTGTAAAATTTCATTTAAATTGGTCCAACAGTTTCGGAGATTAGCCCATACAAACAGACAGAGAAACAAAAAATTTGAAAAAAATCTGGATATGTTTTATTTCTCTTATTACATCCCCCTGACTCAGTTTTTAACATTTTTTTTCTATGTACAGACATTCGATTTCAACAGTTTTATTATATGTATAGATAACTACATTCAAATATTAGTATTTTGTAGAGGAAGGTTTTAGTATATAATTTCTTAAGTTTTTGTATACATTGGCTAAGATATAACAATATTTATTAGAGGTGTTGGAAAAAATAAGCCGTCTGGGAGCTTTCAACGAAAATGGCGGCTAAACCCTATGAGATATAACAAAAGATTAAAGAATTTATGGTAGAATTGTGTATCTTATATAGTTCTACAGAAAAATCTGCGATGGCATATTTCTATCTCTTAAGGATAACATACTATAGCTATTTTACTTTAAAACGTTCCTAGGAACGAAGCCGAGCGAAGCGAGTGAAAATCGCTGGTATTATATAAAAAGTAATAATTTTTTGTTTATTTCAGATATCAAAAGGTCCAAATCAACAATGGAAACTGGTACTGGAACACAGGTCGTTTGGTTATAACTGGCTACAGCAAATGCGAGTACAAAATGATAGAGAGAAGAAAGATGGTTTCATGTCATACATTAAACAGCTTTCCAAAGATAAAATTACATTTTTTACCCAAGGAGGATCTAAAGGTGAAGTTTAGCTTAAAAAAAAAGATATATTTAAAATTGCAAAAAGTTTCTTTAATAATTGTTATACAAAGTATGTATCACAAAAATATTGATATTTTTTTAATTGTCATAGATGAGAACAAGACACAAACAGTGGAATACGTATTAAAGCCTATTGAATATTTGCCTAACTTTCGAAAAAATTCTAATAGCTGGGCTTTGACTGCACAATATGTCACTGGCCGACATTTTTTAACAGCTTTTGAATTAAACGAAGGAATTATTATTGTAAGTTGCACTTATACACTAGCTATTATTTATCATTAATGTCTATCACAAACAGTTCTACAACTGTTCATAATTATGAATTTATGCTTTTGTTTAATATTTTTGATAATATGTAATTATTATATTATTCATTTAATATTTTCCAGTTAGAAAGTCCTGCTGATGACACTCCATCAAGAACTCTCAGACCTCAAATAAAGAAAGACAGTCAATATATTCAAGGCTTATGGTCACAAAGATTGATATACCTTCTAAGAAAAAATCAATTGGAAATTCATAGCGCTCAGTTTTCACAGTTTCAGGTAAAAAAAAGCAATTATGCTGTTTCATTATGTTTGAGAATCTGTATTTGACACTTATAAGAACACTCAGGCCAAGAATCTCCCCGAGATATGTGTACTTCCCAACATCCCTTCCCCTTTTTTTTAACATTGAAAAATGTATTTACCTATATCCATTGCACATATGTAGGTGTTTACGTGTAGACTCACCAGCTGGAAAAATCACTACTAAAGTTGAAAGAAACTAGTAATAATATATAATAATTACACTACAGTACTTAAACGCGTGAATTTGTTAGTGGCGAATAAGGTGTATTATACCTTATTCCCGACGTTTTGACTGGGTTACACCAGCCGTATTCATAGGCAAACTCAAAGAGTCAGTCTCAAATATATAATAGTACTACCCACTAAAATTCAAAAAGAACTTCTACATCTTCATGGAGTGTCACCCACAAACTCAACCATGCTGCCCCGATGGCTGGTCTACTGAAGTAGACTACTCCAGAGAGAGAATATCTTGGCAGAAACTTTGAATAACTATTCTTAACCCCACCTAAGGGTTTATATCTCAGTACAAAATGATTTCTAAAGATTATTGTAACCTTAATAAAATACCTGAGTTAAGTGAATGTATTCAACCCTTTTAACGTCCCACTGCCGGGCACGGGCCTCGCTTCAATGTGAGAGGGATCAGGCCAGAGTCCACCACGCTGGCCAAGTGCGGGTTGGCGGGTTTCACATGTCTTTGGAAAACTCGATGTTTTCTTCACGATGTTTTCTTTCAATGTTAATGATTTGCACATAAAAATATCAGAGGTGCGAGACTGGGATTTGAACTCGGTTTCTCAAGCGCTACCACTGCCTTTATGCGAATGAATTTAACTATTTATTAATGAGTATTGTTTCATTGACACATTTTTAATTTGTTTTAATAGGGGGAGGGATTACTTGGTACTAAACGAGATTTTTCTGAGCTTTGGGCGGCAGAACTGATAGGTGATGTTCAAAGAGCGTACTTGATGTCTGCGAAGGAACCATCATCAGGTTCCGGTGGATGGAAGGAACCGACTTTCATGTGTGACTTGCAACTGCCTCGCTTTGTATTGGAGCCATGCCTTGTCGTGACGTCATGCGGGGCTTACGTGTTTAACACTGTGTAAGTTCTCATACATTTGTTGTTTTTATAATTTTCTTGGACAGGATAAACCTTTATTATTTTTTTGTACACTAAATATAAAGATATGTAATTATCGTGACAATTTTTATAGAAAATCAAATGAATCAAATATGACGAGTCACATACGTTATATACTCATATTATTTGTCGATGAGTTATTTGTTATATAACCACTAGCGCCTTATTTCTCGATCGAACAAAAACAAAACAATCCGTCTCAACAGTAGCGAGCCGTGCGAGTGGGTGGTGGGGCTGATCATGCGCGGCGGCGCGGGCGCGGAGCTGTCGGCGGCGGCGCTGGGCGCGCCCGTGCCGCTGCTGCTGCGCGCCGCCGCCGACATGCTCATGTCCCGCGGCCGCGTCGCGCCCGCGCACTACCTCTACTCCCTGTCGCAGGTATGCGCTAGCTGCTTTACATTACTTTCTGTACATCTGCTCATTTTCAGGATTCCGTACCCGAAGGGTAAAACGGGACCCTATTGACCCTAAGGACCCAGGCTGTAGCTCATGAAACGTGATAGTTGAAATTTTCGCATATGATGTATTTCTGTTGCCGCTATGACAACAAATACTAAAAAACAGAATAAAATAAATATTTAAGAGGGCTCCCATACAACATATGTGATTTTTTAGCCCGTTTTTGCTCGATATTGATAACGGCACAGGTAGACGCTTGAAATATTCACAGAATATTTAGTTATATATTCACTTTAAAAATAAATTATTAAATTAAAATAAAACAAATATTTGATTGCATACAACAAACGTGCTTTTTTTCCGTTTTTGTAGATAATGATACGGAACCCTTCGTACGTGAGTCCGACTCGCACTTGGCCAGTTTTTTCTGCTTTATGTTGCATTTTAGTTTTAATATAATTTCTGGAGCTGTATTTTCTAAAAAAATATATATAGTGGAAAAAAATAGTTACTGTTAGCGTACCTTAGGAGATAGACACATGCTATCGCGGACTTTTCTGTAGGCCTTTTTATAACTTACAATTTTAAACAGATTTTTCGACAAAACACCGTCTATGCTCAGTTATTTTTACAAATCATAAATACACAATTCCTCACTTATCGCTCTTTCTATTAGTGAAAACAGTTTCAAAATCCATGCGTGGCTTAGGAAATTAAGCAGAGAAACAGACAGACGCAGACAGCGATTTTGTTTTATACTCGTACTAAGTATAAATTTTACTGATTTTTTTACAACGTAATTCTATACAAATTTTACAATTTTCTAATTTTAGAGTCAACCGGATGGTTGGGTTGCGCGTTTAGGTGTATTTGGACGACTTCATGAGCTATCAATGTACAAGCCAGTTGGGAATGTGGGTAGTCTCGGCAATGCTGCTATCGCATCCAAATTGCTTGCATTACTACTAAAAATAGGGACCAACAGTGAAGAGAATTTTGACATGTAAGCTATATTTAAATTTAAAAAAAAACTTTCATATTTCTTTTACTTCCTTTCCTTAATTTGTAATTAAACTACAACCTTAGGTATGTAGGTATAAGTTCAAAGTACTTTAGTGTCTTAATTAAATTTTTGATAACAACAACCTGGCATCAGGCAACCATTTGGCACAGTCTTTTAATGAAACAATTTTATTTGCTTTTTTGTCAATGTGCAATTAAACGAAGATTAGATTTTTTAACAACATTTTTACTAAGAGTATATTATGTCCTATATAATTTTACTATTTAAAATTATATTAAAGTGAATACCTTAAAGCTTAAAGGAAATATTTAAATTTAAGGGATGTTAAGTTCACATCACTAACTACGGTGGAACTTCAAGAGTTGACGTCTATAGCCGCTGCCATAGGGCTGTGGGAGTTAGTTCCAGTGTTCAGTATCCATAGAGGATATCCCAACTTACTTCTGAATGCTATTAAATCTAAGAATGATATCTGTCGAGGCGCAATTTTATGCATCTTGAAAGAACAATGTCTCGTCCCGATACTCTTGGAGGAAAATGGCCAATGGTTTTTCGATTTTATCGCTGAGAAATGCAATAAATTTGACACTATAATTTTAAAGGTAAGTTTAGTTTTAAAGTGACTTCAGATGGTCCACATGTCGCTTCGATCTAACGTAACATAACGTTTAGGCTTGCTTTCTCTTAATATGTCGTCGCTATCTGTTTTTAGCCACCCTAACGATGACCCAATAAAAATATTCATCTTGAGAAATTAAATAGCAAATCGAAGCATTAAATGAATTATCAAATAATTAAGTATCGCAAAGTTTGTATAATGTAAAATGCACATAATACAATAATTTTTTTTCGTTTTTCAGCGTTTATGTTTATGGTTGAACCCTTTGCAAGACCAGTTGCGGCCAGTGATGCGAGATTTGAAACAAGGAATTACGTCAATTTATGTAAGTATATTTTTTTATCAATTATATATAAAATAAATCTAATTTGTAGATTTAAATTTAATTTTATTCATATTAGAAAAACATTCAATTGTTAACGGTTTTCCTCTAAGAACTTTAACTTATTCATATCACATTATAATAAAGTATTTATTGAATAAACTTCTACAAGCTCTTTTTAATCGTCACTTCTTAATATATTTTTTTAATTTAAATTGTATGTCAGTAAATCCGCGAGGCAACTATATTGGAGTGAATTTAAAGATCAATAATGTAAACAAAGACAAGACATTTTCCAAATGATGACTCAGTTGTAGGCCATATTTTCTAAGGAGTACGCCTATATTATAATATTAATTATTTTAATTTAATGAATATTAAAGATTTTAATTTTGCTTAATAAATTCTTATTGTGTCAAACCACACGTTACTAAACAGGTTTTACATTTTTTTATCGTTAATTACATATCCAAATGTATGTACCACCGGCTCGAAAAGCAGTTACGCTAAGAAGAGCTGCGTTCTCGTTTAAAATAATACGTGTAACATTATTTCTAGGCAACAAGAATGCTGCAGTTGATAGCAACATTCGTGCACGTCGCAAGCGCCATCGAATCCCGACAGCCGTGTCTAGACATACACACGGACATTACACAAAAGGCGGAAACATGGAAGAACCAGTTCACCCCGCGCCGGGCCGTGGCGTGTGGGCTCGCGCACTGGGCGGTGGCGGACGACGGCGGCGCGCGCGTGGCGGCGGCCGACACCGCCGTCGACACCGAGCTCACCGGCATGGTCATAGACGTCGCGTGCGGCCGCCACCACACGCTGCTGCTCACTGAGAACGGGGTGAGTATACCTTGTTTGGTTGTCATGGCGACGCGATTGGTTTTTTTTAAGGAATGTTTGTATGTGGCACAGGCTACTGTTTATGATGATGATCATGAATGAAATGTATAATATAAAATGATATGCAATAATGCTTTTTTTTCGTATTGGTTGTTAGTTTGTTCTGTATCTTAGCCAGCTGATTTATTATGGTCTAATTCCACTGTATCCATGGAAAACCTGTGTGTGCGATGGGACGTAAAAAAGACTGACTTGTTATTTCTATTAGTTTGCCGTGCAAAGTGACGTAAGGCGCAGATAATATAATAATACTGTAGCGCATTATATTAATAGTTAATACCTTATTTTAGAAAAAAAGTAAATTAAAAAATTCTAATTTATGTAACTTAAATAGGCGATAGATGACGCGTATCCAATTATTTTTAAATTACTATAAAGGTTTTTTTTAAAGGTACAAAAAAGATAACATGTTATTTTTTCAACTTTTTGACTTTAAAATTGCAATAATGCAATATTATAGTGAAAGTTGGGTAGAAAGTGACTATATTATTCGTCAATTCTTGAATGTTTTTAAAGGTGATTAGTCGAAAAAAAAATTTTTCCATCCAAATCAAAAATTTTAATTAATTATTTTAAAAAATCAGTGGGCCACCTCAAAATGTCGAGTAACCTTTTTTTTTTATTTCAAAAATTTAGTTTTTCATTTAAAAAGAAAAAAAAAATGATTTTTTTCCGTTCCACCTTAATGTATACATCAAATAACTCTGGGCGTATACTATAGTATAGTATACGCCCAGTGTTATTATATTGAAGTCGCATCACTATAGGGAAATATATGGCTAGTGTTGTTTTATCGCAACGAGTGAAGATGACGTATCACGCAGATATACGCAGCGGGCGATAACTCGTTCGGGCAGCTGGGGCTGGGGCGCGCGTGGGCGGGCGCGGCGGGCGACGCGGCGCGCGCGGGCGGCGCGCCGCGCCTCGTGCGCCGCGCCTGGCCCGCGCCGCTGGCCGCCGTCGCCGCCGGGCACTACCACTCCGCCGCCGTCGACGTCGGCGGCCGCCTCTACACTTGGGGGTACTTCATCTAGATTCCAGATACACTACTTCACTACTGTGTGGCAAAATATACTTTTAATCAATTATAGCGCTTACAAGCACTTTCTAGTCAATATAATTCAGGATGTACATGATAAAACTCCCAGAATTTTAAAATTCATTTCTGCTAATAAAACTCAAAATGTTTAAATGAAAAAGGCGATTAGTAAAAATGTATAAAAATTATCAGCAGATACTAAAAGCCACTGAATAAAAATAATATTTAACAAAAGATGCATCAGTTACGTTGCTATTGTTTTTTTACAAGATTCTTATAACAATAAGAAGAATAATAATTGTTAAAACCTATTGCATATTATTTCATGTGTAACATTGCCATTTGACGATATTTTCTTGATTGATACTTTACAGTTGGGGTGTACACGGACAACTGTGTCTGGGCAATATCGACGATCAGTACATTCCTCAACTTGTCACAAAGTTTCAAGGAAGGAAAGTAAGTAATTATAATTCTTTTTTTATTGAAGCATTACTTATGATTTGATCGAATTTCTAATAGAGAGGAGACACCATCAACATACTTTTATTTGCTTCGTTTTAATGAACTATATCATCAATTCTAGATTGATTCCACTGACGCCTTAATTTGAAAATTTGTAAGTGGATAGTAGAATATAATGAGTGGCAGAATTATTTCGAGGGAGCTGCATCTGCTTCTTCATATTGAACTACTAACTGATCTTTAAATTATTAACTATTTAATTTTTATTTATAAATATAATATGCTACCGACTCACCATCAATTTGCTCGGGTTCTTCCAAAGCTACGTTTTAACGGTCAGTGTATATTTTTTAGAAATGAGAGATTTTCTCGCAGTAAAAAGTATCCTATATAACCCGGATAACAAGCTGTCATTATACCAAATTTCATCAAAGTCTCTTCAGTGGTTTTTTCGTGATGCGTTGCCTGACAGATAGACGAAAATTCTAAAAATTATAGATTCGTGCTCTGTATCGATAATGATGACTATTTCAATAAGGTTTTCTAATAAATATTTAATGTACAGATTCGACTCAGAATTTTATTATAGGTATAGATTTTTTTATAGTCGTAGGGAATATATTTTATCTATTTTTCGCAGATATCTAATTTAAACAGGGATGTTACTAATATAATTTTGTTTCTTCAACCTTTTCTATATATTTTTCGTCATGAATCCGCATGCCGGCGTCCATGAGGGTACAATGTGGTATGCGCAGGTGCTGTCGGTGGGGTGCGGCGCGTGCCACACGGTGGTGCTGATGAAGAACGGCGAGGTGTGGGCGAGCGGCGCCGGCGCCTTCGGGCAGCTGGGCGGCGCCGCGCGCGACAAGAGCGCCGCGCCCGTGCGCGTGCCGCTCGCTGACGTCGCCGCCGTCGCCGTCGGCTACTTCCACAATGTGAGTTGTCATACTTTCTTAGATTTACGCGAATATTTCACATTTTAAATTTGAGACGTCTTAAACGTTATTCTGTCCCGTGTCTATGATTACTGTTAACCGTTCGTAACGTCGGAAACTAAAAATTAAAATAAATTCGTGAAAAAATCCCAAAAAGATAGTTTTATTTAAAATGTGAGTTGTTTTTGATGTATATATTTTGTTCTGCGGTTTTTTTCTTTGAATTAAGTGGACGAACCAATATTTTAATTATTTTAATAACTAATATACTTAACTTTTCCTTCGCGAGTTTAAATCACGCTTGGCCATTTTTTTATATATGCGTTACACACGTATTTTACTATATAATTTTAATGTCATTAATACCGCGTTTCCTCTAGTATGTAGAAAAACATATAGCAATGACTTCATAACATAAATGAAATTAATATTTAGATGATTGTTTTTAAACTGGTAATTATAGTTGTTACCAGACATCGTACGTCAAATATTTTCATTGACTACAGGTTAAAAAAAGCCCATTAATTCTTAATAACTATAAATAACATTGGAAGTTCCTTATCATACGTTATACTCGGCACACTTGGCGAAGGAGAGCTCTGTGCGGACTAGTCCGCGATAAACTTCAACATGTAAAATATACGTTGCTTGATGATTATGACTTATGATACCCTCTTCTAGTACTCCTGACAATATTTTTATGACCTAATTTGTGAGCCAAGGGCAGACGGCGAAAGCAACTTCGTTCCTACCAGGTGTTCCATAACACCTCTATACTTTTCTATAACAAAGGAACGATCCCCAGTTGGCGCTAACAACAAAAGGCCAGCTATGGTGCTGGGGCGCGAGCCCGCAGCAGGTGCGCGCGGCGCACGCGCGGCGCGCCGCCGGCCCGCCGCCGCTCGCGCCCGCGCCCGCCGCCGGCCCCGCAGTGGACCCGCATCTAACGCCACAGCTGGTGGATCTGAGGAATGTGAGGGGGAAGATTGCTAGGGTGAGTTGGGTTTTATGTATATTATATTGTTGTAATTCACACTGCACACTTTTAAAATGTTTCGAGAAGCCAGTGCTGCCCACTTAATCCCTCCACGACCGCGGACACGCCGAGGTGTCAGTTAACAATAGATTTTTTAGAAATTTACCTGGAGGTGATAAACCCAACGGAACTTCCCCCGTCTTAATCAGGCATCGCAGATTCTCTTACGCACTCAACCTCGACGCCCTGATTTGCTCTGCTATCAGAGAAGTACCAAAAGCAATCTGCACAGCACACCGCCTACCACGGATTGCCTTTTCAATAGTTGCAGAATTTAAAAAAATCAACTATCAACCCCCGTAGAGGACCCAAGTATAAAATAAATATATAATTATAAACTCACCACGTCATTTAAGTATTGTTTGTATGAATATAATATTATTTTCCAGATATCAGCCGGCTGGCATCATTCTTGTATCATAAATAATGCAGGGACACTGTACTCTTGGGGACTGAATTTTGATGGACAGCTTGGTAATTTTTTTATATGTAATATCTATATACATTAATTAGTAAATAAAATATTTAGTTCTTTAGAACGTTAAAATTTAATAATGGGAACAATCACATTATTAAATTTTTACGTTTCTCCATTCTACGTGACATTGGCGAAGTAATCTGTGCTCAACTAGCACGCTTTAAAGCCATCAACAAGAGAATTGAATTAAATGTAGGTCATTTTCTCATGTTGATTTCATCATGATCCTTTGAATTACTTCCATTTGTTTCCGAAATGTATTTTAAATGAAATATAAATAATGTTTTAGGAAGTGGCGATCGTAAACAAGTTCATGTACCGACAGAAGCGAAATTTAAAACTGACGCACCACCAGACAAAGGCAACAAGTCACCGGATAAGGAAATAGCTGATATGAAAACTAAAGCGCTCGTCGCTTGCGGGGGGGACTTCACAATATTCATAGATGACGATGGACGGGTGTATGCTACTGGCAATATGCATTTACAGGTATTTTATTAGCTTTATTTTTATTATGTACATGTAGGGTAGTTTAGAAAATGTCCATACAAATATTTATCTATACATATAATAAAATTGTAACCAAGCCGAATCTGTACATTAAATATTCTTTGGATAATCTTATTGGAATAGACTTTATTACCGATACAGTTGCCGAATCTATAGTTTTTAGAATTTTTGTCTGTCTGTTATCGCATCACGGAAAAACCACTGGAAGGATTTTGATGAAATTTGGTATGGTGATAGCTGGTTATCCGGGTCAACATATAGGATACTTTTTACTGTGGGAAAATATCTAATCTCTGAGAAATCTTTACTAAACTTTAAAACGTAACTAGGAACGAACCTGAGCGGACTGAGGTTGAGTCGCTAGTATTAAATAAATATTCACAAAATATAATATGGTTTTTATATTTTCAGAGTAATAATGAAAAAGATAAACCGAACAACCGCGTTATAATGATGAAGACAACAAAACGCGTCATAAAGATACCAGCGAGTCGAAGTAATAATAAATTTGTATTTCACCAAATCGACTCTATTCATATCATGTTCCCCTTCGACATTGACGGCATCGAGAGGAAACCAATAGAACCGAGGCTGAACCCACTAAACTCACTCGCTGATTTCAAGAAGAAATCCTGGGCTGACGATATAATATTACTGTTAAAACCATGGATAAATGAAGAAGACCTTTCTGGAAATCTAAATATGGCGGCCAAATTGGCCTATCACAGAAAAATGTACTCAGATTGTCTTAAGTTAATGCTGGACAATCTAAAACTTGGCATCCAAGATGACCAGTTCTACGTGACGCATCAAGATCAAGATGATGAAAATATTTCGAGGAAAAAAGATGAACTTAAAATAGTTATCACAAACATTATGTCCAAACGAATCAAAGATATATCGATGTCGATCCTAAACGAGGAACCTTATCCGATAATCGATCCTAATACATATCTATCGATACCCTGCTGTTGTGACGAATTAAAGTACACAACTAAACAAATAATACCGAAATCGATTTTGAGCATTTCTGAAATCGATTTATCCGTGAGGGCTGCACAGATAATAGATAAATCTATCAGCATTTTCCCAATAGATAGCTCGCTGTGGGAAAAATGCTTTCGATACGCTAAAGATTTTTTCATCGATAATAGTTTACGTGTTGATGAATTGGAGACGGTTTTACGTAAATATATGGAAAGTAACGCTAACACAATGGCGGCGGCCATTATGTATTCTAACGACTGTGCCCAATACAGCGAGATTTTGTCTCCGAAATTCTACTTGAATATGTGCAGTGAAATATTAGATACTTGGGGTTGAAATTTGAATCGGGGTCTTTTATTTATGTTCTAAAGGTTTCGAGAAAGATTTATGATGTAAAGAAAGTATGACGAAAGTCAATTACTTATGTCAAAGTTGTTGAGAAAATGGAAAGAAGTAAGGAATTATGTATTTTGTAAAAGAAAGGTATTTGATATTTAAAAAAAATATATAATTTAATGTGGCTGATAGTATTCGATATTTTTTTAAAAAAAAGGAAAAATTGCGATCGTAAAAGAGAGTGAAAATAGGTGTATTAAATGTAAGGTGTAAGAGGTTGTTCGTAAATAAAAAACACTACGATTTAATCATTAGCTTTCATATATCAAGACTATACTTTACTTACAAAGGATTAAATTTTGAATAAAATAGAAGAATATTATTCATAAAATATGTTCTACGGAGTATTTTATTTAATGTGGAATTTAAATTACATATTTCAGCTATGTTCGACATATACAAATTAAATATGATATAATCAATCTTAATCGCTATAAATTACGTAGTAAATGTGATAAATACAAAAAATTATACTGATTACAAGAATATTAGTGCAGTGCTGTTGAAGCTAATCTGAATCTTTATGAAAATTTGCAAACGAAAATTTCCCGCGCATTCGCAACAGATAATTCGACAGAATCGGCACAGTATAAAAATCCATACAGTGATCGTCCATTGATTTTAATGGAAATGACAAATACGAGAGTTGTCAAAAGTACCAATTTTCATAGCGAGCAGACTTGATGTTAAAGCGCTTTAAGTTAGTTGTATTCATCATCCCTATATTTCCCGATTGTCATATAAAAATTAGTGTCGATCCACACTATAGCGCCGATGACAACCCGTTCTCGGTCCGATTTTGATCTGGTAAAAAATTTCTTTACAAGAAACGTTGCTGGAGTGTGATTTACCGGAATTTGACTCTTACTGATAGTGTGGATGCACTTATTGTAATCGACTCTATAGTGTGGTTCGGGTCTTAGTATGACAGTTGGGTGCAGCTCGCACGCCCGCACGCTGCTCTGTGTAGATTAGACAATTGTATGGGTTAGTAGACTGTGGCATTAAGGACTACAGCACATATTAGTAGCATACTTCATGGCGGTAGTTATAATACGAATACTATTTCCTTTACAGTGTGATATGTGATGGCTTAGTCATTTTATTGAAAAATGCGTGTCTATTGTTAGTAAAAAATAACAATGGTATGGCCTCAATAATGATATTTTGTAGATGGGGTTTCTTATAGAACATACTCTTAAGTACATACCCTGTGTAATCGTTTCTATTACACTAGGGACTTACCCTTACTGAATTGCCATAAAGTTATTTCATATAAGATACTAATACATTAAAATTAAGATGTAACAAACTTCGGTCTTATCAATGATATGTATATATGATATATAATCTTTAAACAATTAACCAGCTAACAATATAAAAAAATCTTTTTTAATATTAAATTAATTAGCAGTTACTTATATTTACAATATATTTAAATCAATGCAGTGAATAATAAATATATTTATTAAAATTACGCACTAACTAGTAATGAAACCATGGTGTCATGTTATTGGATTAAGTTTGTAATTTAGTGTTAAATGTTGCCATTTCTGTAGTTGGGTTGCCATTTTATGTTGTTGTGTGTGTCTTTTTAACAATTTCCCTGACTAATATAGCATCGGTACGAATGCTGGGCACAAATTTTATTGAAAGACTAAAAAAGAATACCGGCCGGATACAAAAACTGCTCCTTTTTGAAAGTCGGTTGAAACGAGGATGTATCAATTTTGGTGTAATTTTTGAAGTAAAACTTCTTTAAGCGTAACTGAGGGGTACGTTAATACATTGGATAACTCAGTGCCGCGGACGTGACTCAAATTTATTATTAATAAAGAAATATGTTTATATTTTTATAATAATTATAGTTATTATTTATAAATATATACATATATATATATATATATATATATATATATATATATATATATAATAATTTTATAAAAAATACTATATTTATATTTTAATTGCGGTATATCCCACAGCGCCAAAGAAGTTATACTTCAACCACGCGTAAAAGTTACACGCACACATTTTATTTTAATACACGTCGTATAAAGTGAGCGGATGCTGCTTTTAATCATTATTTTTTAATATATATATACTACAAGGGTGTCGTCCCATATACGTAATAATTACTGATCTATCTGTGCTTAGTATCCGTGTCGGCTACTACAACACGCGTATTATTATTCATACTTTCAGTTTAATGAAAACCGCCATATCGCTGTATCTGGTATTTGTCATAAGAGATCCATGGTTCGGTTTCCAAAATAAATGTATGTTCGACGACACGTTTGACTCAGTTTGTAGTGACCCTATTTGCTGTGCCAACGGTCGCGGGTTCGAGTCCCGCTGGGGGCATTCATTTGTGTGCTGAGCACGAATTTTTGTACTCCAGTCATGGATGTTTATATTTATAATATGTATGTATTTAAAGATTTATATGTGTAGTGTATCAACTATCTGGTATTCGTAACACGAGCCTTGCAGCTTACCATGGAACTAGCTAGATGGCACTGTGTTATTGTCCCAACATATTTATTTATGTCTTTTTAGTCTATATATGGCATATCTTGGCGCTAGGTATATGGCGGTTTTGCACATGTTGTCATAAATCTGGTGTGTTATAATGTAGTGTAGTGTTGCATCATTTAAAAATAATTTTTTTTGTTAATCACATCCTATGAAATTTTTGTTATTGCATTCCTCGTTAGAAATATTTTAAACGTATTGCATGTTGTCGTTTACTATTTATATAACATGTCGTCCCCCCGTTATTTTGTCTAGTCATTAGTAATATTTTTGTAACGCCGAATTTAAATGCTTTATGTACATTTTTGCCGTCCGCACAGAGTTATCAGATATTTTAGTATATTTTTTGCAAATGAAATGCTATTTATAGTTCCTTTGTTGTTTGTTGAACCTCAATCATAAACATGTTCCGTCTGTATTGCTTGCTTGTAGATAGCTCTGTTATACATTTTAAGTGCAAATTTATTGTAACAAGTTTCTTAGTATAATTTAAATTGTGTTATTGCATTGATATTTAAAACTTAAATACACATTTCCTAACAAATATCTCTTCAAAAGTGGCGTGATGTTAAATCAAATCAAAGAATAAAATTCAAAAATCGAAAGTTCTAATTGTCTAAAGACGAATTCGATCTTACGCATTATCGAATACACACACCACATAAAGTACTTTTTTAAATAAAACTTTTGTCATCCGAAAAGCAATGAACAAATGAGATTTGAAAAAAGCGCACAATTTCGAATTGTGCTTTTCTTTTTGAGGACATTTTTGAGACGCTAATCGTGTATCTTGAGGTTTTGTATATCAATGTTTTATTGATAATAATAATTATTAGTTGTCAACTTTTAACAGTACTATTTATAACGATCGAAGTAATTTGTTTTTAAATTTATTTTTTTAGGATATTATTTTTGATATTGTTGTAGTTTTATACTTTTATATCGTAGTAAGGATAGTCTTGCCCAAATAAAAAAAAATGACAATGATTTAAGTTATTTGTTAGTGCAAAGTATTGTTATTCTCAGACTTGTTATTCTCATAATATTGACTATTAATTAACTTTCATATTTGATGTTTCTCATAATTCATTGCTCGAATAAAATTATGTAATAAATAAGAATTAATATAATAAAAATATAAAAATGGCGTTTGATTTATAACAAAAACAAAAAATATGACAACATAGCGGTGTTTATTTTGTAAGACTATTATTATTTACAAATAAAATAAATACACAAACATTCACAACATTTACATTAAGTAAATGCACGAGGTTTTGAGTGACGAATCGGAATGAAATAAAAAAAAACACTACAAAATAAATCGCTATACATTATACGAAACACTGAATTGTTCAAATCTTAATCTTAGGAAAGTACGTCACATATTTTTATGTTTATTTAATACCCAATTTTACAGATTCATACAAGTTTCTCGGAAGTGGTGATCAGGATCTGATGCGTAAATTATTTGTACATAAATATAAATAAATTAATTCTAAACTTAGAAGTTGATGGGTTTGCCGATGTACGCCGCTAAGTTGGCTTCTCGTAGCGCTTCGGCGCATGTCTGTGGAAGAAAATATTAGGTTTATTATTAAAAAAAACTATTAATAAAATTAACAAAAATAACAAGTAAATTACCCATATTAATTGGGGATTATATTTATTGTATTTGAGACGTTCTCATTGACCATCCATGTTTAGATGCAGTAATATAACACATGAGTAAGTAATCCCCTAGGGCCTAGAGGTAAAGACTTATAAACCGCACAACGATAGCACACTGTCACGTAAGGTGTTAATTTTCAGTTCTCCACTTGTCTATTAATTGGTCAAGGCAAAAAACTTTATAATAATAATATGTATATATTATATAGTATGTATATATACAAATATAAAAAAACGTGTGTGCGTGTATGTACTTATATACGCACGTAAGAAGTTATACTTCTTTGGCGTAACAGAACAAAAACACCTATAGATTTCATCCCGTATGTCAGAACTCTCCGTTTGTAAAAGGAATGCAGCTAACTTCATCATGTCGCTTTTTGGCTGTCGGTGTGCGTGGGCGTCGTAAAAATTTAACTCTCAAAATGTTTTGTTTTTCGAAAAATTATAGTATATTATGAAGACAGTGGTAGCCCAGTGGCAACGTGCTCGCTTAGGAAAACCGACTGAAGCAGGTTCAAATCCCGGGTCTCGCACCTTGAATCATTTCCAGCGTGATTACCACTTGTCTTAACGGTGAAGGAAAACATCGTGAGAAAACCTGCATGTCTGATAGAACCTAGCAAGTTTTCAAAAAGACATGTGAAGTCTCCCTCGTACTGAAGGGAGGCCCACCCCCAGCAGTGGGACGTTAAAAAGGGCTGAATACATACATACATACAGTATATAACAATGGTAGCGCGATACTCACAGGGTGCGCGTGGCACACGCGGGCCACGTCCTCGGCCGCGGCGCCGTACTCCTGCGCCAGCACCGCCTCGTTGATCAGCTCGCCGCCGCCCTGCCACAGTGCGACGTGACACTTAATACTTAAATGAAGACTCCTTACTCACTAGTATTATAATTTTAACACTTTATTGCACGATAAAATGATATATTTAAAAATAATCAATTAAAAAGATGGGCCAAGGCGTCCTTATTACTACAAGCGATAACTTACACTCGACGGATAAGTAAAGGATACAAAAAATAAATGTAAAAGATCAGAAAGGTGCATAAAGTGAATATTTGTCGTTTTTTCGCCTGACATTTCGAATTCTTTACGACAAACATGTTCGCTGTAAAGTAATACATATATGTTATATATTTTGTGAGTATATATGTATCACTTTACATCTGAAGGAACCAAGGATCAGTCAAATATAGAAAGGTAATTAGCAGAAGGATATATAATGAAATAACAATAACTCACGGGCCCAATGATGTGAGTGCCGAGTATGATGTCTGTGGCCTTGTCTGCCAGCACCTTGACGAAGCCGTCGGGCTCGCCGTTGGTCTTCGCGCGCGAGTTCGCCAGGAACGGAAACTTGCCCACTTTGTACGCTCTCCCCTGAAAACATATTGGACGAATTATTATATCAAGCCGCCTAACAGTACCAATACTTGTTGCACTTTACAGTAGAAAGTTTCCAGCTCTATTTAAAAATAGCTTTATTTCTAAGATTTATATCCATGTGTAAGTAACGTAATAAGTGATGTTCTCCTGGCCGATTCCGGCTACGGCGGCCAATCTCATTGAGACTAGCCAACTGCGCAGGAGATATTATAGTGCACATAGACGCGCAGACACAACGTGCACTCTCTATTCCTGTCACTCTCATACTCCGGTGGGACGACACGAGACAAGACCGGTGAGAGTTAAATCGCAGGACCGACGGCTTTACGTGCTCTCCGAGGCACGGGGGTGAAGCACCGCCAACTTCCCAACTCCGGGCTGTTACTGAGGCTTAATATACAGAAAGACTCAATAACTAAACTTGGGCCGACCCGGGGCTCGAACCCAGGACCTCCGGGTGTGCAGCCGTACATGCTAGCCACTACATCGCCGAGACAGTATAAACAACGAGGCGTAATAAGTAAACGAGTAACAAACATATTATATACATATGTCTTATGTATTTATTATTAATCAAATACATTGTAATTTCTCTTTATACACATTCATCCTTATTTCAGTGTTAAGCTTTTGATTTTATGGTGACAATGAATAGGTTACAGTTTTTAAATGTTAATAATGGTGTGAAAATATTTCATAGTCTTACAGATACACTACACACACACCTCTTTTTTGAGATCCTCTTCAGTTTTTCCAACCCAACCGACTTCAGGTGATGTGTAGATTACAGATGGAATGGCGTCGTAGTTGAAATGTACTGGCATTCCCTGTAAAATATATACATAACATAAAATATAAGAAATACAAATAAAAAAAATATACAATGTCAAAACTTAATTCTAATTTTTTTATGTAATATAAGTATACAATATAATAAATACCCTTATAGTAAATTGCTGAGTTTGTATTTGTTTGGGGTAAATCGCAGAAACTACTGTATGGATTTTCATTCAGTTTTCACCAAAAGAAAGAGCAATTGTCTGAGCTATAAATTATAAACACATTACGAAAATAAGCTATTGATAAAATAATATTTGTGTATTATTAATTCCAAAAATATCGTCCGTTCAGAGAATTTCCCGAATATTATAAATTCAAAGTGCATACAGAGTCGATGTATGCGGGTCACTAGTGTATATATATATATATATATATATATATATATAATATATATATATATATATATATATATATATATATATATATAAAAAAAAACCAAATCTATCCCACGGGAACCGTACATTTTTCCGGGATAAGAAGTAACCTATGTGTTATTCCAGACTATAATCTATCTTTGTGCTAACTTTCATCTAGATCCGTTCAGCCGTTCTGGCGTGAAAGAGTAACAAACCATATTCACAACTTCAAACACACTTCACATTTATAATATTAGTATAGACATTGTTAACCTTAATTCCTTCCACGCACACAATGCCTTCGTCCTCCGCCTTGTGCGCCAACATGGGCCCGTGGATGACGTCACCGATGGCATAAATTCTAAAAAATATAATAATAAAACTTATCATTATTATTATCAACTTTCATTTGTGAAGAGGGTTTTACTTTCTCAAGGAGGGTTGATGTCAGGCAAGCGGCCAGTCATAAAATTTTTCCAAATCCTATGAGCAGCACAGAACATGTACTGCGCCGATCCCAACTGATTGGGAAATGGGCAGGGAGTTGATGACTTGTGATGAAACAGTAGGTTATATCTTTCATTCATATATTTTTATTCAGTTTATTAACATACATATTAACTGAAAACTTAATTGTTTTTTTGCAGCTTTGCTCACGTAACTGTCATAATATAAGTTTATAATGTACAGTTCAAAAAAATAATGATCATACAGCCCCTATGATAATTTTTTTTTAGAGATATTTCTTGCTTACTCGTTCTTTTCTCATAATAAATTAGTCTATTTTGAGGAAATTGATTCATTTAAAGTACATGTAATGTACATAAAATTAAGTGATACAATAATTATACATTATTTATTTACATATCTATATAATAATTATTATTATTTGTACTTCTTCATTAAACACTTCTTCATTAAACACCACCAACATTCATTAATCAAAAGCGAAAAATTTCAGAGAACCAATAAGAATAGATTAAAATTCGACAAACAAGTAGCATTAAACAATCTTATAGTATAATGAATAATTCTTGTATGTACAATGTACATAATATGTAATTTATGTACTTATATATAAATTTATTTTGGATTTGGATAAAAGTTTGTACTTTGAAAAGGTCTCTTAAAATGCAAATTTTTAAATTTCTTTCAAAAATATACGATTTTACAAAACAGCATAAAACGGCAGCTCGGTCGGCCAAGTACTTTGTATTATATGTTATAATATACTTATTTACCCAGGTACAGTTGTTTGAAATTTATTGTTGACGGGCACACGACCCCTGTCGTCTAGAGCGATGCCCACCTTGTCTAGGCCCAGCCCCTTAGTGAACGGCCGGCGGCCGATGGAGATCAGAACCACATCGCAATCCAACTGAAAATACAATCTATACATATAATAAAATTGTAACTAAGGCATATCTGTACATTAAATGTTTTGGAAAATCTTATTGAAATAGACATTATTATCGATACCGAGGCCGAATCTTTAGTTTTAAGAATTTTTGTCTGTCTGTCTGTGTATTACTGCATCACGGAAAAACCACTAGAGGGATTTTGGTAAAATTTGGTATGATGAATGCTGGTTATCTGGGACAACATATAAGATACTTTATAATGCAGGAAAATATCTCATCTCTGAGTAATCTCTACTAAGCGTTAAAACGTAAGTAAACACGAACCCGAGCTGAGCGAGTCGCTAGTATACATATATTATTAAATAATGCGTAAGATGAAGTGAGGAGCGAAATCTAGTCATCAGATAATCTATGCTGATAAATAAAATTGAAGTATCTATTCGTAATGTCAAAATAATAGCTTTTTAGTAAACGAATCTAAAATTATATATGGTGCTTACAAGAAAAATACAATTTTTAACATTTTTATCTGTCTGTTTGTTCCAGCTAACCTCCGAAACGACTGGATTGATTTTGAGGGGACTTTCACTAGCAGATAGCCGATATTATAAAGAGTAAATTGGATACTTTTATTATAGACAAAGAATTAGGGTCGTTCAAAAAAATTAAAACATAAGATAAGGACAGACCCGAACGAAACGATTACAAGTCACTCGTTTGTAAACATAACATTAAAAATCAATTTAAATGACAAAAATGAACAAAAGAGTAGTAAAAGATATTATGCGATGAGAAACAAATCACGCCAAATATATTGTTTATTTTTAGTACAATTTCAGATATGATATCTCACAATGATAAAAATAATCACTCAACTAAAGTAAATAACACTATAATAAATGACATCATGGGAAGTGATTTTGTTGTATGTAACATATGCATTAGTGAATTGTCCATTCTATTGCAATTAAAACTTTGGAGGGGTGCTATTATAACCACAAGATTTTTGACATAGTACCATCAACATAGATAGATGGCGTGCGAGTCGCCTCAGCCAGCTTATTTATTGGTTCGAATATAACAAATACTAGAAATAATTTAGATATTTATTCTATTTTGCATGTATGTCTTTGTGTGTATATATATTAAAAAACAAAGAAATATAGAACTTACAGTTTCCTTATTTCCACCTTTGGCAGCTTCCACATCAATTTTAACAGTTTCACCTTCCTTTCGCACACCAGTTACTTTAGTTCCTAGTTTAAACTTCATACCTTGTTTAGCTAAAATCTTTTGTAGAGTTTTGGATACTTCTCCATCAATACCAATTCCTGAAAATATCAATACATATTAAGTTTTCAAACTTCAATTTATCAGTTATAACTAAATAAAATATCACGTTATAAATTAATGGGGTAGCTATTCTAAAACTACATTTTATTTAAGTATCACTATTATTATATTAACAGCTCATTTCAAAAATATATGGATTACTTTTGTTACATTATTACATTCACCTCCAATGCTTTCAAGGAATTCGATGGCTGTGACATCAGCACCAAGCCTTTGATAAACTGAGCCTAATTCCAAACCAATCACACCAGCACCAATAACCAACATCTTCTTGGGTACTTTGGTTAAAGCAAGAGCACCAGTGGAAGTAATGATTTGTTTCTCATCAAACTGAAACAGTTTTATATTACTTTTCTTAATTTTTATAATAAGGGCTCATTATTATATAAGACAAAAACAAATCTGTCCCATGATAACCATACATTTTTCCTGGATAAAAACCTAACCTATGTGCTATTCCAGACTATAATCTATCTCTGTGCTAAATTTCATCCAGATCCATTCAGCGATTCTGGCGAAAAAGAGTATCAAACATCCATCCTCACATCCCACTCCACTCCATCAATCTTTCTCATATATAATTAGTACGGATTTATTTAAAGAAGAGAATATCAGTAATATGTCAGCAATTATCACTAAAATCTATGGCTATATCAACAAAATAGTTAAATTGTAGATAATAGTTAATTTTGAGAATCAAGTTTTTTTTTGTTAGATAACTTTTTTGGTTAATTTAGTCTCACTCAGCCCTTAGTTGAACAAATTTTATATAAAATAATAACTAGTATACAATGCCTTACAGTAACTCCGGGGAATGGTGTGACTTCAGATCCAGTTGCAATTATGATATTTTTAGTGTTTATAGTTTCAACTCCTTTTTCTCCCTGTACTTCAACTTTGTTGGGGGCAACGATGGAGCCCACTCCACGAACTAGTTGTACCTGTAAAACATATTATATTGTTGTGTATGTACACTTATATCATCTACTAGAGAATAATAAACCTTTATGAATGTGCTATAAGTTAACAATTCATCAAGGTTTCATTCCTATAGGACATCTCAGAAAACAAACAATGCACAAATTGCAAATATTTAGAAAAACAGATAACAATAATTGTTTTTATATTTATCAACATTTTTGTTATAGTACAATTATTGTATACTTATATGTATAACAAATACCGCAAAATTGTTTTACCTTATTTTTGTTAAAAAGCATGGCAATTCCACCGGTAAGAGCTTTCACAGCATTTGATTTGTAGGTCATCATAGCGTCAAAGTCAAACTTGACTTCACCAACTTCAATACCCCTGTGTTTGAAGTCATGCTTGGCCATGTGGTATAAGTGAGAATTATGCAGCAATGCCTTTGATGGAATACAACCAACATTTAAGCATGTGCCACCTAAAGTTGGGTCTTTTTCCACTGAGATTGTCTGTGAAAATATATTATGATGAGAGAGAAAGTAATAAGAAATATTTTTTTTATCTATTTGGTGTTCAGTTTGAAGAGATATATTTAATTCCTGATTATTTATTAGATCACTGTAAACTTTTGAAGATAGTATCAAGATAAAACAATTGAGAATTTCCTTTATTAAATTTTAAATTAAAATTTTAAATATATTTCAGGTATCTATAATATATGTCCAATATTACTACTATATGTAAAGTTTTTGAAAATACAATTATTCATAAGTATATGCTATTAAGCTTGTAAAAATGGTTTTAAGTACCTTTAAACCCAACTGAGCTGCTTTAATTGCAGCTACATACCCGCCAGGGCCCGAACCAATGACTACAAGATCTGCATCATGTGAGGTTGCATACTGTCTGACTCCAACTCTTACAGTACCACTCTAAAATATATCATTTAAAAATAAATATATTATTATTAAATATATATTGATGTTATATATGATATTCACAATAATTATTCTGTGCACATGTACAATCTTTCATAATATTTTATTACAAATTTGATGTTTGTTGTTAATTGAATAGACATTTCAAATTTAATTTAAAAAAAATGCATTTTATTTTAAGGCATGATATGTTAATTTAAAAGGCGGTCACATGTTGAAGGTCAAAGACAAGATAAATTAGGTGAAAACAATAATTTAATGAAATATATAAAAAAAAAAATTAGTAATAATAGTATGAGTAGGCAGTAAATGAATATATTTTGGGACTTGCCCTTAAATTAATTAATTTCAAATTTCAATTACTCTAAGTACATATTTGCTTATGCGTAAGATTGCATAACTTACTACCGATGTTCTTTATAAACAAAAAAGCATATGAGAAAATTTAAAGCTTACCTTAATTGAAGTAGATGCAAATTTTAGAAATTTATAGCCCATATTTAAATTATTTGTTAGGGCCACTTAATAATTTAAATAAAGCAGATAGTCTTTGTGGAACCCTGGCGATCGGCAAATTTGACACACGAATGTCACAGCAGTTGGAGATTGCAATTTGCATTCATCATCTGTTATTGCAACCCACAGATAAAATTTTGCAGATTATAAAATTTTATCTATAACATTTAGAATTTCATATAATTGTTACAGTGACTTTTAACATGTAAATTTACTACTATTATTATTCTTTTGTACAAGTTTTACATATTACAAAAAGTCACAACAATACAAACAAAAAAATTAATGCTCAGATTAAATTTGTACTGTGGCAACATGAAATTGCGCGCGCTGCCGAAACGGAAGTTTTGTTTATCAATCAAGCGAAGCAGTACGAAACATAGCGATCTCGGTAGTGTTTGTTGGTAGTAATTGCAAAAATATTAGAAACACGCTGCATTAATCAATAGGAAAATATTTTTTACCTATTGTCTCCACGTGATATAAAGTAACCTTTGAGTGAACGTTAACGTAATCGGCTTATATTTTTATTGAAAGTTTCATATCAGTGGGTGAGTAAAATATAATTATAGTATTAATTTTATTGTACTAAGTTGATATTATTTACATTATAATTGTTAAGTGTTTAGTTGTAATTTGTAAATGATAACTTAAAAACAACTTTATAGTTCTCTGTAGATAATATACCGACAGTTGATTTCCTAGACTTCTAGAGAATTGTTATCGCGTTACATAAATAAAGCTGACTTTGTATTAAAATTTATCGTACTTAGGTATGTATTGTAGCTGATCATATTTAAATGTAATAATCTACCTATATTTTGTCGTTAAAATGTTATTGTAACATACTTTTCATTAATACCCTTTGCGGTAGAAATACTATACTATTACGAATTACATATTATATTTAGTACGAAGAAAAAGACAAATCGTTAAGTTTTGTAATTATATCAATGTACCAAAAACTTAAACTTAGCGTACGTACTAAATTTAATTTTAAAATAGTACTTACCTAATCCATTAGTTTTAATGCTAAATAATGTTTAAATCATGTTTTTTTTTACTTATTGACGGTTAAACGAACAGCTCTTAACTGATATAAAATAACAACTTAAATTTTATTTTAAGCGGCTACATTAGAAATCTAATAATATAATAAAATTAGATTCCTTATGTAGCCGCTAAAATTCCTAATATTATTATGTGCACACTGCACTCTTTATTATATCTGCAAGTTCATAAATTAACTTTTATAATTCTTTTCCATTATAATCAAAGCGAATTTCAATATATTATGTAAAATATCGAATAACCGAAACAAATATTAAATATATTCCGATAAACAAACGCAATCGGTTCATTAATCATTACACCTACGGATTATTAGGATTTAGTAGTAATTATCTAATCCAAGTTAGTACACAAATACAATTAATTATAGGTAGTTTGTTAGATATCTGTATAGTATTGTACCTATTATAAAATACTAAGAATTTTTTAATTTTTTACATGTTCCCATAATGTTACGCAACCAATGAAGTAATTATTTCGATCTAATTTTTATGCGGATTCCATAACTATGCTAATTAAATGGGCGTATCTACCAATTTGTCTTATTTTACTTATTCATAAAATATTATACTTACAACACGAAACGTCAATCACTACGTATAAAGCAGTCGTGTGTCATACAATAAATCCTTCGTAAACACGCTATTGTAACAAGAAACTAATTTAGATAACAAATGAATGAATCAATTGAGTTCTTTACTTTTCAATTGCTGACTGATAGGTGGTTCTAAGAATAAATATTTTATGTTTACTTTTATTTTTACGTAGTTTATTATATATGTATATAAATACTTCGCTCCTTATAGTCGTAGCGTCATGTTAAAAACCCTATACCCAGTAGTATATAGTCTTCGTCTATAAATAGGTAATTAAATGCAAAAATATTTTTTCAAATCTGATTGGAGGTTTCAGAGATTACCGCTATTCGATTCGAATAAACAAAAAAAAATCTATCTACATACGTTGCGCTACAGCGTCCTTTTTCGTAACTCGGCTTCCTATCTTATCGTCGTGATTTAGCGAATTAAAATGCTTTGCCTTTAAGAGAGAGGTCCGAGTAAATTAAATACTTTAAAACATTTTATTTGGTTTATATATTACTAGCGGCTCATCCTCGCTTCGCTCGGGTTCGCCTCTAGAAAAGCAAACAAATCTATCCCTCGGGAACCGTATATTTTTCAGGAATAAAAAGTAGCCTATGTGTTATTTCAGACTATAATCTATCTCTGTGCCAAATTTCATCCAGATCCGTCCGGCTATTCTGGCGTGAAGGAGTAACAAACATCCATACATACTCACAAACTTTCACATCTATACATATAATAAAATTCTAACTAATTTGAATCTGTACATTAAATATTTTTTGGAAAATCTTATTGAAATAGACATTATTATCGATACAAAGGCCGAATCTATAGTTTTTAGAATTTTTGTCGGTCTGTCTCTCTGTCTATTACCGCATCACGGAAAAACCACTGGAGGGATTTTGATGAAATTTGGTGTTGATAGCTGATTATCCGGGTCAACATATAGGATACTTTTTACCGCGGGAAAATATCTCATTTCTGAGAAAAAATACTTAAACTGCAATGTAAGAGTATACTTATATGTAAAACCTAAGAATTTGGTTTTTGGTCATCTGAACGCGGGCAGAGCCGCGGGCAATGCTAGTATATAATATAAGTATATGGATTAATGGGATGGAATATAATATTAATGGGATTAGACATTATATATATTTAGACATTTTCCTGAATTTAAAGGAATGGTTTAGTTTACACTTTGTTTCATATTTATAATTATGAATCATCATGGGAATGTCGTAGGTTGGTAATTGTAACTTAAACCTAAGCTCCTTTAAAGGTCGAGTGGGATAAAGCTTGTCTGTTCATAATCCGAGAAATATCATAAGCCGGTTAAAGCATTTCTGGCCCATATCTACGGTTTACCTGCGCAGTGGAACAGGTAATCCTGTTAGGTGGCCGTGACACGTTGCCCGGCTTCTGCGTGAGGCATTCAATTCAGTTTAGTTCGACGCATCCGTACTCGCGATGTGTGACGCGAGAACACGTAAAACTGCACCTGCCATACAAGAGAAGCTCACCATCTATGAAAACGGTATAGGTGCCCAACAAAATAATATACCCACATTCATTTTAGCATATCATCTGTCGCCTCCGTATTTGGTCGGGCTTCGTTTTATGATCGAAAGTGTCCAAGCGTTTTAATTTATGGTGATGCATATTCATATGGACGCGCGTTTCTCTATGGCTAGTTGTCATTTAGTTCACGCGCTATTAACGCAAGTAAAACAAAAGCACGTAGAGCTGGTGCTTTCACGCCTCGTGGCTACGACATTGGATCGCGTTGACATACTGAGTGTTATGATACCTGATATTCATTGTTGCACCCATCCTTCTATCAAGCACACGTTCACTTTCATTGTTTTGCAATTAATCTTATGAGCAACTTGGAATCAAGAACAATGTATGTATCTTAACAAGACTTTGTGCAATGTGTTTGCAACATCGTTACCTCGATAGAGCTTTCCTACACGGCAGTCGCTCTATTTATAAATCACGCCACATTGCTAAGACTTGTGATACTGATAATGATTAGTCCAAATATTTATGTTTGATTTCTTTATTTTGGCGAAGAATGTGCTCTTAAATGCAGGTGTGGTGTTAAAGTTTGTCGGCAACTTCTCATTAGCTTTGTCAGGCACAATGATGCGCTGTTCTCAAGTCACGTATATGCAGGCAATTAGTCTCATTTCTAACCGCTCACACTAGAGGAGTACAATGCAGAATTCATTAATATTATCAGCTTATAAACTAGCATTGCCCGCGTTCAGATGACAAAAAAAACAATTTCTTAGGTTTTACATATTAGTATACTTTTACAAGGAATGAGATATTTTCCCGCGGTAAAAAGTACCCTATATGTTGACTCGGATAACCAGCTATCACCATACCAAATTTCATCAAAATCCCTCCAGTGGTTTTTCTGTGATGCGGTAACAGGCAGACAGACAGACAAAAATTCTAAAAACTATAGATTCGGCCTCTGTATCGATAATAATGTTTATTTCAATAAGTTTTTTTCAAAAAATATTGAATGTACAGATTCAGCTTAGTTAGAATTTTATTATATGTATAGATAAAGGAATTACGTTATACGTTAAAACAGAGCCATTGTTCATTTTTATTCATTAGGTACTACAATGTTTATATTTTATCCTTATTGTATTACTTATGACTAAGTACCATTGTTTTTTTTTTCATTTCGATTTCTTAAATAAAACCAAAATTAACTTTTGAAAATGAATTGATTTCTTTTCATTATAAAAAAGCTAACAGAAGTACATTCTACTATTACTTATAAGTTAAAAGCGTTTAAATTTAAATTCAACTATTTAGACCTTAATAATAACTTAAGAAAGAAAGTTTAGATACTTTTTGATTACAAATTAATTGAATACACCAACGTACATACATCACATACTTACATCGAAATGGAATATTTGCTTACCATAGGGCTTTGGACCAATGATTATTTTATATACATAACACATGTATGCAATTTTCGCATCACCCCGATACATATTATTACCATATTATGTGCGGAATGTTGTAATATTTACGGAACTATTTAACTGCAGTCCATATGCGACACAACAGTTACTCTTTTGCGCATTGCATGTCAAACGTCAAACACTGCATTATGTATGCACCTCATACTTTTAATAATGCAATGCGTAGTGCGTAGTTCTAGACTAAGGGTATAAAAACGTCATGGGTGGTTCATGTATTGTGTCTAAATATTCTTTTAATTTATAAATATGTAGTAAATACATACAAATTCCTATGAAATAAAAACAAATTTAGATTATTATGCATTTTTGTTAAAATTAATGGTAACTTAATGTGTGTGGACAAATATGTTCACTATGTAAATATGTAACATTTTATTAATGAAATTTTTGTACGTATCGCCTGTCTTTAGAACACCTATAAAGTATATTTATATTTTATATGCATATTATGTCTATTTAGAATAGAATAGTAATTTTAATTTTATGCTTACAAAATGTCACTGTTTGAAAGTTATCATCTATATCAATAAGTTACAATATCCGAGACCAGCTTCATAAGAAAGTGTTGGAATTGTCGTGGTTACGACACGGCTATTACGCATTTGTTGTAATTCCTTACGAGAGCGAAGCTAACCTGCTATCCGAGATAATCACGCTGCAGCTAAAACCTGTTATGTTTTATTTGTCGGTAAAATTTAACTGCTGTTGAGATATATCTCTCATTTTTATTACAGCAAAAGATAAACTCATGCGCAGCTAAGTATAATATGGTCTTTGCTTTCCAAGCTTACAACTGTCAAAGTAAATGTTTTGCGGAAGACAAACTGACAAAAGCTAAACCTACCTATAAATTACAAAATATATGTATATAATTGTTTGATATAATTACCATGAGTCACTATTTAATTGCAGTTTAAACACCTTGCATGGTATATGATACATTTTACTAGGCTACATACACTATTTACATTGATTTAAATATATAATATGTATTTAAAGAAGGAAACGAAAGTACTCGTATATCCGAGTAATGTTAACGTTTACATAGCGATATAGCGGTTAACTCTACAATAAAAATCAAATACTTAAAAATAGTAGAGATCAGTCTTTGGGTTTGTTATATTTAAAACTCTTATCAATAAAAATATTTCAATTTATTTTATGTAGCTGTTGTATTGACATGCTTTCGACTCATATTAATTAATAATTAGCAAAAAGTCGTTTCAAAAGTCTGTGAATCTAAAATCTAGAAACAATTTTTTTGAAGTTAAATCTTACAAAGTCCATATAATAATGTATGTACATACATCGTACGATAAATCATTTTTAAAATATGTATTATATTATTAATAATTTAAAGACATATAACAGGTACATTGAAATCAACTTTCTATATTTATATAATTCATGTAATCAGCAATTATTTAAGGTAATTTAATATTTAATAAAAATAACCGATCTACATTGTAAATAATTAAAATACAAGTAAGAATATGGATTAAGTATAAAAAAAAACAAGATTTTTTTTAGAATGCATACAATTTATTACGTGAGTAGCTTTGTGCCTAATAAGGTTCTTTACCAAAGTATCACTTTGTCAGAGGGTTTCACGTCAAGGAAGCCCTTAAGCACGGATTTTTGGCAGATGACATCACTTGAAAGTTTTTAAACCTCTATCCTGTAGTGTTACATCCTCGAGTGGCACCGTAAAATCTATAATTAATATCCGTTGAGATTTTAGAGACGTTTCGCTATTTGTAAATTTCTATTGACACAAGAAACAACTTTCAATAGCAATATAATTGCTGAGTATTTATTTTGGTCAGTTTAACCGTTGGTCTAAAATTAATATGTATTTTGTTTGGCATATTTATTACACAATTACTCATAGATTATATATATGTATATATATGCGGTTAGGCGGGCGTTATGTAGGGCGAGTGGCGAAAAGCTTCGTCTGCGTTAAGGGTTCAACGTCCTAAGAACCCTGCCCGTGAACGTGGCGAGGGATGGTTTCAGCTGTTATCGATACCGTTTAACTTGCGAAAAATAATGTTTAATTTCATTGAGCTTTATTGTATTATAAACTGTATGCGCTTTTTATATCTTACTAGAACATTCTAGGCTTATCGTGTGTCCAAAATATAACATTAATATAAATAAATAACTTATTTTTTGTGATGTACATAACTACAAATTTACGGTTTCCGGATTTATCCCTTTACTTGTGCTAAAAGACATTGCTTCTTGCCAAATTTCATTATTCTAGTTCAACAGGAAGTACCTACAGGTGTTCATTCCCTTCCGAATTCCCTAGCCGAGCGTGAAAATACATATTATGTGACATAAACAGCCGTATCTTTTGATTGCGTTGATTTAGAAGTTTGGGTTTTTTACAAATCCTAGGGATTGCAGACCTGAGTATTTCATATTAATTCTAACTTCATACAACAAAAGGGGCTTGACAGACAGACAGACAGACAGACAGACAGACAGACAGACAGACAGACAGACGGACGGACAATGAAGTGATCCTATACCTAAGGGAAAAATATTTACTACGTACAAATTACTCTTTATTTTCAAAATTGTAATTAAGTAAAGAATGTAAAATAATTTAAGTGCAATTATATACATCGAATTTATCTTACCATCAACAACTATAAGTCTTCGTATGTGAATCTTATGAACAGAGCGCTCTCGCTATATTATGTTAGTTTTTAAAGAAAATAATTAAGAAAAATTCACATATTCTAATTAACATATCGTGCCTATATTTGCAGTACCTACGAGTACTTAATATATTTTTACTCTTTAGCAATATTGAAATAGAAATATTATAAACAAGAATAAAAAAAGAGATTTTTAAGAGTCAGTTAAAATTTTATATTTATAGTTTAGTAAATTTTCGTGTAAGCTTATTTGTAATTATAAATTTAATAGCAGTATTCTAAAGCCAGCAAGTATAAGTGCCTTTGATGGTTTTAAATTATGCGTTGTGCTTCGATATTGCATATCATTGCAACGTTCGCTGCATAAACATGCATCTAGGTTATGGAATAAGCTAGGCTGCGATAAAATACCATATTTGGCAGAATTTTATGCATTTAGAAATATCTTACGTTCTTTATTTAGGTAAGTTATTTCTTTTCAATAGTATCTATTTTCTTAAAAAATGACGATATTATTTAAATACTAAAAGTAATTATTTTTATATATTTTTTTTACTTCTGAGTTTTGACCATTTACTGCTCCTTTTTGAAAGTAATAAGAGGATATTTCCACTTCAAAGCGTAACGTGATGCCGACGCTAACTCAGTATGTCCCATAAACATACGTGACATTGTTTACAAATATGGAGGCGTTATATTGAAACAAATGAGCTGCTTTTGTCGCTGTGACTTATAATTGTAAGCCTTTAGGCTATTTAAATACTATACCTATTTACCTAGACTTGTTTACTTATTTTTTTTAGTTATGAGTAATTAGGTATAGATATCTATCTACTGCAGTGGCACGATGG